CCCTAGCCTGTCCTGTTGCTTCACGGTTAGACCATATCACAGCCTCCTACTTAGCCTCCCTCCGGGCCCTTCCACTTCCAAAGTCCTGGACATGCCCAGCCCAGATAGCCAAATAGCACTTCTTACAACACTGTCATCTATTGGGTGCATCGTCTGCCTGTGAACTTACAGTGGTTCCCCTTGCCTGTTGGCCAAGTCATACATTACTAGATCTACTTGAGGAACAATAGCCACAGTGGTTATACAATCTAAATTATTTCTGAGACAGAAGAAGAGAGTGAAGTCGGCACATGGCAGGATAGTATTTCAAATCAATGGGGATAGGAAAAGTTATTAAACAAGTCAACATTAGAACAACTAACTATACATTTAGGAAAACAATGTAGTTTCTACTACATAAAGTATATAAAAATAAATTCCAGAAAGATTAAATATAGAAATCTCTTTTTAAAAAACTTATAAAAGTATTAGAAAAAAATAAGTGAACAATTTCATACTGGTAGTATGGAAGCCACTTTATATGACAAGGGAGGCCAATCAGAACTGCCATGCTTCAATCCTTCATTTGCATGGCAGGAACAAACACCAACCAATCAGAACTGCCATGTTCCAATCCTTCATTAGCATAGTGAAAAATGGAAAAGAGATAAAGTCCTATATAAAAACAATCTCAAATCACTGGCTCAAGGCAGACAGCTTTTCTATCACTGTCCTGCCTTCTGCTCCCTTGCCGTGTACTCAATAAACATGTCCCTCTCTACTTTGATCTGACTCATGTCCAAATATCAATTCTTTCACTGCCCACAACTCCAGCTGACCGGTTCGTTACCTGCAACAGTTAGTAAGGAGATAACCTTCCTAAGAGAGAAGTCTAGGATCCCGAAATAAAAAGACAGATAGATTTGACCAAATGTGAATGTCTGATGTCAGTACAATAAAGACATCATAGGCAAACTTAAAAGACAAGTAAAAGGCTGATAAAAAAAATTTATTTTGATATGAAAACCTGTTAATAGCCACCTCCAAAAGAAAATACTGAGTATGTAAAAATAACCTTTAGTAAAAACTCTGCATTTACTTTCACTATTCTATGGAAAAAATTATATACATATAAATGTACAGTATACACATACAATATATATGGATAAGACGAAGGCATCACACTAAGAGTAACAAGTTACTAAAAACCAGGAAGACAACAACAATAGCAAAACATAATAATGGACTGAGAACATACACAGGCAATTTCCAGAAAAATAAATACAAATGGTCAATATTTTTAAAAGACAATAAACTGCACCAATAATCAGGGACAGGGACATTAAAATTTGTTTGCTTTTGAGTAGGGGTCTCACTGTGTTACTCAAGCTGGATGCAGTGGCACAATCATGGCTCACCACAACCTCAACCTCCTTCCTTTTCAGCCTCCCAAGTAGGTGGGACAACAGGCACAAGCCCAGCTATTTTGTTTTTTTTTTTTATCTTTTGTAGAAATGAGATCTCACTATGTTGTTTAGGATGGTCCTGAATTCCTGGGTCAAGTCATCCTCCCACCTTGGACTCCCAAAGTGCTGGGATTATAGGTGTGAACCACCGCACCCAGCCTTTGAGGGTTTTTTGTTTTGTTTTGCTTTAATGACAAAAGTTTAAAGTGTCAGTGAGAGAAGCTATAGAGACAGATGCAACCCAGGGGAGTGTCAATTCTAGACATTTCTGGAATGCAATTTGCCAGCATGTATCAAAATTCCAATTTTGAGTCACTTTGACCCAGCAATTCCTCTACTAGTGTCTCCTCTAAAGAAAAATGCACTTGTACACCAAGAGCCACGTATGGATCTCTGGTGCAATGCCACCCAAAGAGTCTAGCATGGATTAGCAGCAGCCCAGAGCACCATGTAGGAATTGAGGCTGGAAAGGCAGGATGGCCTAGGAGGCCGTGGGAAAGCATGTGGATTTCATTTTAAGTGGGACAGGAGGACACCAGAAGGTTCTGAGCAAAGGAGCACTGTGATATTTTTCTTACTTGTAAAAGATGGTTCTGGCTGCTGTGTCGGGATGAGTGTGTCAGAGGTGGGAGGCTATGGGGGGAAGCAGGAAAGCAGGAAGGTTCTGCAGTGGGTTGGGAACAACAACTGTGACTTAGGTTTTGGGGTGACAGGACAAGGAAAGCAATGAATGTCTTTGTTACAGGTTTTGAGGTCACTGGAGGTAGGACTTGCAGGTGGCTTGGAAGTCGCGGAGGGACTTTCTTTCATTTTGGCCTCAACAGCTCAGACAGACAGTACAGGGTCTAACATGGAACTCTGTGTAAACTGTCATAAAAACAATTCTCCAGTGAAGGAACACTGAAGCGAAGACAAAACACTAAAGGTGACAGATGGGGATGGGGAGGGAAACATCTCCTATTTATTGCTTCGAGAGTGAAGAATAATACATCTTCTGAATTTCTACCTTTTCTTTTTCACTTTCTGGATTGGACACTATATCGCCAATTGTCTATTTTCTCTTTGAAAAAAAATTTTCTGGAGGGACAGAGTCTTGCTCTGTTTCCAAGGCTGGAGCACAGTGGTGTGACCATAACTCACTGCAGCCTCAAACTCATAGGCTCAAGCAATTCGCCTGCCTCAGCCTCCTGAGGAGCTGTGACTACAGGTGCATAGCACCACCCAGCTAATTATTTTACTTTTGTGGAGATGGGCTCTTATGATGTTGCCCAGGCTGTTCCCTGGCCTCAAGGGATCTTCCTGCCTCAGCCTCCCAAAACACTGGGGTTACAGGCATGAGCCACACCCAGCCTCTCTTTGAATTTAAATGGCAGTTTCTGAAATCCAGATGGTCAGTCTTGCACCTGACTGAGAAGAGGCACTCCTCAGAAGGCTTTGGAAACAGAGAATGCTCTTGGACCTGCCTCCACCCTCGATGTCCCACGCCCTTCTCTAGCTCTCCCCTGTCGTGAAGTGAGCAAAGGAGAGAGGCTGCGTCAGGGTGTTGGGCCCATGGGCCAAGGGTGGAGTGTGCGTTCTAACCTTCCATGTAATGAGAAGCCTTGGTGTCAGAATGACAAGTTTCATTTTGAAAGATTCCTCAGGCTGGTGTGTAGAAAACACATGGTAGGGATGCAGGTTGGGATGAGGAAACTATTTCAAAATACACAGCAGTGACGGGTGCACAACATTGTAAATGTACCAATGCCACTGAACTGTACACCTTCAAGTGGTAAAATTATGAGTTTTATATTATGTATATTTACCACTATATATATATATTTTTAAATGGGCCAGTTACAGTGGTTCACGCCTGTAATCCCAGAACTTCGGGAGGCCAAGGCAGGAGGATTGCTTGAGCCCAGGTTTGAGACCAGTCTGGACAACATAGTGAGATCTTGTCTCTATAAAAAATTATCTGGGCATGATGATGCACACCTGAAGTCCCAGCTACTTGGGAAGCTAAGACAGAAATATCACTTGAGGACAGGAGTTGGAGGCTGTAGTGAGCCATGATGGTGCCACTGCACTCCAGCCTAGGTAACAAAATGAAACTCTAACTCAAAAAAAAAAAAAATGAATTAGGGAGAACAATTTGGGGCCAATATACCTCCAAGCGATGATGCTGGCTTTTCTAGAAGCACTAAGGGAGCCAGGCACGGTGGCTCACACCTGTAATCCCAGCACTTTGGGAGGCGGAGGCGAGAGGACTGCCTGAGTCCAGGGGTTCAAGACCAGCCTGGTCAACTTGGCAAGACCTCATCTCTACAATAAATCAAAAACAAAATTATCTGAGCATGGTGGCGCATGCCTGTAGTTCCAGCTACTTGGAAGGCTAAGATGAAAGGATTGCCTGAGCCCAGCAGGTCAAGACTGAGGTAGCTGTGAGCATGCCACTGCATTCCAACCTAGATGACAGAGTAAGACTCCAACTAAACAAAAATAATAACAAATAAGTGGAAGCACTGAGAGGATGGTGATGGTAATAAGCTGTCCTATTTGGGATGTGTTTTTGAGATTAAAACAACAGAATTGCAGGCAAATTCAAAGTTAAGTAATAAACACTCTTTTTTTGGCCTGAGCAACTACATGGATAATGGTGCCAGTTACAGAGCCTGGCATGAAATGCTTCATCCAGCAGACAGCCATGAAAATGTCTGCGGGATAAGGAGCTGAAATGAAGGACAAATGTAGAGTAGGTGAAAAATGCATAAGAAAACAGCCCCTAAAAATGTACTAACAGGTTGGGCACAATGGCTCACACCTATAATCCCAGCACTTTAGGAGGCCAAAGCAGGATTGCCTAAGCCTAGGAGTTTAAGACCAGCCTGGGCAACATAGCGATATCTCATCCCTACAGAAAAATTTAAAAATTAGCCAGACTTGGTAGCACAAGTCTGAAGTCCCAGCTACTTGGGAGGCTGAAGCAGAAGGAATGCCTGAGCCCAGGAGTTGGAGGCTGCAGTGAGCTGTGATTGTGCCACTGCACTCCAGCCTGGGCAACAGAGGGAGACTCCAACTCAAAAAAGAAAAAAAAGTACTAGTTTCTTTGGTAGTAGCTCTGCATAGGCACATGAGCATTCAAAGGTACGGTCCTTCATAATTTGGGGAAGGGAATGGTTAGAGTCATGCTTAAAACCAAATGTCTCCTCTAAGGAGAGAGGGTTGCAATGAGGTGATACCCACACAACCACCAAAATAAGACACAACCTAACAGCGTCATCTCACTCACACCCCCTGGGACTGACTCCTTCCATGGGTCTGAGTCCAGCAGACTCCTACAGAAATTGTCAAGTGGGGGTATCCTCCAAATGAGCCAGCCCGCCCCCTCTGCCCAGCTGGTATGGCCCTTCGCTAGGTTTTAATAACCTCCCCAGGTGTGAGGACCAGAATCGACTCCCTTACAGCTCAAGTACCTGGGACTTGAGAAGCCCCACCTTGAAGGGTTGCCAAAATCACAACAAACAAGGAAACGAACATCACAAGAACAGAAATGCGCAGACAGCTGGTACCCACCTCCATGAAGAAGCCTGCTATCCCAGCCTGACAGGAGCCGTGTTCCTCTCCGTACTTCTTCTTATACTCTAGAGGGGAAAGGAGGAAACAGAAGCAAACCACAGCCATGTCAGTGTGTGCCAGCCGTGCGTGGAGCCAGCAGAGGGGGCCGGCCACTTCCCTGGGGGGAGCCGTGGCAGGCTGGGCCCAGAGATGCCGTCCAGGCTGGGGTGAGGGAGGAGCATCTCAGGAACCCACTAGACCTCAAATCTAGGCTCTGGTGCCATCAGGTAGGGAGGCTGCCAAGTGCTCCAGCAGACTTCCTCCACTCCTCAGTGGGAAAGAGAAGCAGCGGGAACAGTAATTAAGTAGGAGGCTGGTGACAATTATCTCATTTTCTTCAGAAAGTACAGAGATCCCTCGTAGGCCCAGGGAGCTGAAAACACGACTGAGAAATGGAGTGATGTGGCCATCCCAGTGTGGAGTCCCCTGGAAGAAGACCAACCCACCCCAAAAGATGCTTGGTACACAGCTGGAGGCAGTATGCTTCCTACTATCCACCCAGAAACATGCCGTCCACCCCAGGGCTGCAGGGGGCGGAGACCCCCTTGGCCATGCTGGGCCCTATGGTTACACATCGTGGATATGTTACAATCTGCACTACACCTCTGCCTTCCTTGTTTGGAAGGAAAAGGGGAAGAACTCCCTGGGTCAAAAGAAAACGAATAATAAGTTCTTCTCGCAGGGCTCGGTGGCTCAGCCTGTAATCCCGTGCCTTTGGGAGGCGGAGGTGAGTGGATTGCCTGAGCCCGTGGGTTCGAGACCCGCCTGGGCAGCGAGAC